TTCAAGATGCCAACTCCAGACTGCTAGAAGGTATTTAAACGCCCATGTGTAGCACTCAGCTTAAGGTTGTCTCCTTGCATTAAAAACGAAGCACTTTCAGGTGAGCGCTCTGCAGTTCAGAAGCACGGGGAGAGCTTGTAGCCTGTCTGCCAGGACTTGCACCACACCCAAGTGCTCTCATTATGTCTGGAGAGGGAAAGAGTATTCACTTCTTGAAGGAGGATTAATTCGTCAAGGAAGCCTTTGCAATTTCATTTGTCTAAGAGCACCCTTCCCTAGGGCACTGTGCTTTGTTGTCAGCAGTGACTCCACTTAGCAACATTGCATTTCTTGGCCTCAAAAGTGAAACACAGCACCTGATTCTGTGAGGTTGAAGTATTTGTACCTCTGGCAGGTACGACAGTGCAGTGCTGAGAATACAAGGGTCTCCTTGATGTTAGTGGAGCCTGCTCTAGCAGAAGGTGGCCATATTTTTAACCTTGTCTTCTCTTGTGGTCTTGTTTTTAGACTCCTGAAGAGGAGGAAATCTTGAACAAGAAGCGTTCAAAGAAGATCCAGAAAAAATACGACGAGCGAAAGAAGAATGCCAAGATAGCAAGTATTCTTGAGGAGCAGTTCCAGCAAGGAAAGCTACTTGGTGAGTCCCTGGCAGCATTAATGTGGGTGGGGATAAGGGAGTCAGGGCACAAACAGGGTGCCAGAGCAGATCTTATTCTTGGTCTTGGGATCATTTAAAGTTCTACACGCTGTGGTAAAGCTAACTGCAGGGTGAAAGCGATGGGGTGTTCTCCATATCTGCAGGAGTATCTTCTGGGTCTTAAATGTAACTTGTTCTTCTGTCTTCTCCGGAGATACCCCACTTCTGTCAGGAAGGGGAAATCTATTTCTGGAACTTGAACTGGCGCGTGTCCCAGCCAGGCTTCTGGAGTTGATCGTTCCTGGTTGGCCTTTGAGAGAAATGATGGGGCTTGAGACTTGCAAAATGAGTGAAGGCCCATGGGCTGCACTGTGTGTCGGAAAAATGTCCCGCGAACGTGTAACAGCTCTGACCAGTTTCAAGTTCTGGGGAATAGTTCAGTGTTCTGAAGTCTTCTGGTGATGAGACCTTTGTCCAGTTCTGCTACTGAACTTGAGCGATGACAGTTTGGAGATCTGAAGAGGACTTCATTAGGGACTCAGTCCAGCAGAGCAGGTTCAAGAGCACGATACCTTAGGGGGAGGTACTGAAGCCAGCACATAAACTGGTGTGTCTGTTACCGATCACTTGCTCGTCCGTGCTTCTGCGGAGGGACCACATGCAGTGTTTGTTTCACTTTGGGTGCATACTGGGGTAGTGAATTACTAAACTTCTTTAACTGGGTGACTTCTCCTTGCAGCCTGCATTGCCTCCAGACCTGGACAGTGTGGCCGAGCCGATGGCTACGTGTTGGAAGGCAAGGAATTGGAGTTCTACTTGAGGAAGATCAAGGCCAGAAAAGGCAAATGAATAAAAACTATTCTGCTGAGAGAACGAATAAAACCAAGAGCCTGCTACAGTAAAGGGTCGTGTGCTCATTTGTGTGTGCGGGGTGGAGGGGGCTTGTGTAGCTCCTCCCGCCTGTAAAGTGTGAAAGGAAGAAGGATCTCTCCTGGAATCCCTGAGCGCTTTTGTGTCTTCAGGCCAGCTCTGACCCTGCATGCTCTCGACTAAAACGCCTCCCTGGGTTCTAGGACAGTGACTTAAGGGAGCAGGTGGGTGTGCAAAAGAGTTGTCAGACTTGGCTCAAGTGGAAAATTTCCAGTACTGGAAACCTGCAAGCAGGAGGAAGGTGCAAATGTCCATCCCTGCTAGAGTTCTGGCTTTCTGGGAGCTGCCGGGGTCTGGCTGGGTGCGCGCCCCCCCCCCCCCTTTTCCTGTGGTGTGTTAGGTCAGCACATGCCAATTTGGGGTCTTGGAGTGAGGTCAGTGGGGAAAGGGGCCCCGCTGCCTCAGGAGAGGGCTGTCCAGGGAGCAGCTCTGCAGCTGCAGCACTGCTTTTCTTAGACTCTGCGTTTGTGCTAAGTCTGGCTGAAAACTTGCCTCTTACACCTCCAGCCTCCGCAGCTGGTACCTCCTGCCTCTGCTTTCCAGACCACGCGTGCTCGCATCCGCTGGTCCGGGCCAGCAGCCCCTTTGCCATTGCTTGGTGCTCCCTGCCTGGTTGTACGATGGCCTTCAGGGTCCGGTATCTTCTTCTAACCAAACTTGGCTGCACTGCTCAGTGACCAGCTGGTCTTCCATGACCTCCTTGGTCTCATTCCAGTGCAAGATAAATTCCTTCTAGCAGAAGGGCCAGGCTCTCATCACGGTCTGTCCCTTTCGAAAGCTGGGTACAAACTCCAGCTTTCTGCCTTGTCGCTTGTGTGGGACTGGAAAGCTGTGGTGAACAAAAGCCGTTCCGGATGTTTCGGGGCATGTGGTGGCATTCCGTGGGGCTCCTGAGTTTATAAAAGGCCAATGTGATGGATCTCTGCATCTAGCTGCCAAATGCTTTGTGCAGGTATGGGGGTGAAGTTAGGCGCCCATCTAAGGGCTGTGGGGGAGCCAGACTTGCATGTCTCGTGCCTGCCAAGTGGACACACTGCACGCTTCACCCCCACTTACATGTTTTTACATTTTACAAAAGCCTCATTTATTCATGGGAGCACACTGCACTCTTCACCCCCGCTTACATGTTTTTACAAAAGCCTCATTTATTCATGGGAGCGCCCTGGTGCGAGGCAGAGTACCTACAGCCCCGGCTTCACAATTTTCAGCTCTGAACTGAAGGAGGTAGTCTGTGACTAGCTTGCCCCAAGCAGAGCTGTGGTGCGACCCATGTCTCTAGTGCCTTAAAGTGCAGACTGTCTGCCCCACAAAGAGCTTGCGCTTGGTATTTTTAAGTTTTTCCTGTGATGCTCTGCCCCGGCTGCCATGTCTGGCAGCAGGAGGGTGCTCGTGGGCTCAGGTGCCCTGGGCAGCGCGGGTTCATCCTGCCTTGCTGGCAGGGATCCAAGGATGGGTCTGTGCCACAGGTGGAGAGACACACCAGCCACATCAGAAAACGGTACCCGTTGCCTGGATGGCCGCAGCAGCGCGGTTACGCCGTGGTGGGCGTGCGTTGGCACTGCCTTGCAGCTTGGCTCTGCGCTCGCGTGGGCACTGCGAAGAGAGCCGTGCCCGGCTGGGTGCAACTGGCCGCGCTTCTGCAGCCCCTGGCAGCGGGACCTGGGCTGGGCGGGACGTTTGCACAAGCACATTCCTTCTCCATAGTGATCTGGGGTAAACTTTCCCTGCTCTCCAGCAACGCCTGCTTTCCAGAGAGGTGGGGCGGAGGCGATAAAAGGGCGCTTGGGAGGGATGCGTCACGGCTGCTTCCTCTGAGCGTGTTTCTTCCCTCGCCCTCCGCAGAGCGCAAACAGGATTCAGGGTGTTTCTGGGGGACTTTGTACAGATGGAGAAACAGGCTTACGGAGCAAGTGCCAACTTGGGTGTCGGAGCCGGAGCTGTAAACCTGGCCCCTGATGAGCAGGATTAGGGCTAATTCATCAATGCACGCTGCTTATTAAGTTATTGGTCTGAAAACCACAGCTGCCAAGGGCAACAGCCCGTGGGAATAAAAGCAGCACCTATCGCCTGCCGGAGCCATGCTGTAGGTGTGACATGGGAACGGGATGGTGGCCGCTGGTCAGGGGCGTGTGGCACCTGGCTCCCATGGTGGCACAGGCTGTGGGACCTCAGTGCGGCTTGGCTGCAGGATGTACAGTTTCTGGCCTGGCCTTGGCACAGCCCCGTGGATGTGCACCGGGATTTGCCTGCCTGGGAGGAGGCAAGCCTGCCGTGCCCTGAGCCAGAAAGAGATGGGCAGGGGCTGGGGTTAAGCACAGCTTTAGTCTGGCTAGGTTTACGAGGTGCCAAAGCCTGGTCTAAGGACCTTACCCACTTCTGCAGATACATGCGAGGGCTGAATTTAAAAAAAGCTACTTTTCATACGATGAGCAGCCGGCAGCGTAACCCGAGTGAGGTCACTCATCACCCTGAGTGCTGCTCCTTGCTGTTGAGTGGCTCTCGGCTCCACGCGGTATTAACTTTGGGGTATTTTCACGGGACATGGTCCAACCCAGAAAATGACCTCGTGGTTACACTTTAACAGGTCCCGCAGTGGTCCGGAGTGTAGCGGAGGAGGAGCGGGGCTGGCTTGCTGGGGGGAGATGGGAGCTTTAAAGGAAAGGTGGCTTTGGGAAAGGGGGGCTTGCAGGAAAGGAAATTTTTTAACAGCTCTGCCAATATTCTCAGGGGAAACAGACGTGTCTGAGCACCAGAATCCTTCTACAGGGGCTGAAAGCATCTCTGTTTTTTTTCTGGCTGTATCACTTGGTCTGATACCCCACAACTGTCACTGGTGTCAGTCCATGGGGCTGTGCCCTTTTTGCCCCAGGAGAACGTGTGCACTCCTTGACAAAATCCAAATTCACACGCTTTTTGGATAAATGTGATGTCCCTGCTGTCTCACTGCTGGGGATGAGTTGCACCGACAAGGAAGAACCTCGAAGCTGAGGTTGGCAATAGCTTTATTAATATCGAGGGGACATCTCCATCATGGTGTTGGTTTTCTGCAAGACTAATGCCCTCGTCCTGTCCCTTGCTTGGGGTCTGGGCTGTCCCCTGTCCCCTGCTCTGGGCCTTGGGACCAGGGAGTGAGCCTGGCCAGCTGCAAGTTGGCGGCGTCATCACACAGATGGGCTGAATCCTGCAGTTTTGGGGCTAACAGCCAGTGTTGAAGGCTGTCTGCCCAATCCCAAACCCACCAGGATCTTCCCATCAACCTGGGGACACATCTTGGCTTGGAGCTGGGTGGCAAAAGATCTGGCAATGTCCTGCTTCTGGACAGGGGGTCCGAGGGGGGTGTCTGGGGACAGGGAGTTTCATGGCTGGCAGTGGCGCTGCCTTGGGGTGGGGGCAGCTATTCTGCCCCCAGGAAAGGGGTGCTTTTGGGGCAGCCTCAGGGCTCCCAGGCCTCCCGCCCGTCAGCCCCAATGCTCTCGCTGGATGGTGCCTTCACCTGGATCAGCAGCAGCTCCTTCCTCTGTGTTTCGGAGGCCTCCGGCAGCCAGGTACGCCCTGGGTGACTGCCAGGCGTGGTGGGCTCGCTGGCCCGGCTCGCTTCATCCTCCGTCTCTTCCTCCTCGATGCGGGCCACCAACTCGGGGTCCTCAGAGCATTTGGGGTAAGGGGAGGGGAAGCCACCGTCTGTCTGCGGACGCCACACATGGGAGTGGGCTCGGCTACCCCGGCTGAAGTTCTTGATGCTGATGGCAGGGGATGCGGCAGCGAAGAAGCGGCTGAGCAGGGGTGTCTGGATGCATGGCACACTTGGCGAGGCCTCCACCATCTGGCTCTGCTCTGCATCCTCGCACACACTGGGGGAGCACGGCAGGGTGATGGGGACAGGCTGCCATCCTCCGCAGGGATGCCCAGCACCACTCACCACCTCTATCCCAGTGCATTTGCAAGCAGGGAGCAGCTCCAGGAGGCCACGTCCCTGCCCCAGCGGCTCATCCATCACCCAGCGCAGTCCCCAAGCCCCACAGGGGCTGGGCAATGTGCTCCAAGGGGGATTTTCTGTTTGCTCGCTGCAATTGGGCCCAGGGGGGACGAGCCCAGTTGTGCTATTGCTACCCTGAAGCACTCGCCCTCTTTTTCTCCAGCCCCAGGGCTGCTCTGTGCACTCACCACATGTCAAAGGTGGAGCCCAGGAACGAGGGCTTCAAGGTCTCAGAGGCTGTGGCCATAGTGTAGGGGGGCTGAGCCGTGGACTCATTCCAGTATTTGTCCTTCACTGCAGGGGGCAGGTTCTGGTACATGTCATCCACAGAAAGCAGGGACACCTGGGCACGGCAAAGGCAGGGGACAGGGGTGGCTTTGTGAGGACATGAGCGGGACCAGTGGCATCTGCATGCTGCTACCAGCGCCAACCTGGCAGGGGTAGGGCTGGGCTCTGCAAGGGGCCAGGGAGGCTCCGGGCCCATCTCCTGGCTGCATTTGGGGTTTTCCCCTTCTGAACGCTCTTCTTGGAGGTGAGGGGCTGAGCAGCGGTACCAGGCTGCTGAGTGTCCCCTGGGGGTGTGCTGACCCTGCCGTGGGGAGCAGACACACAGAGGGACAGGGATGGAGGGACAAGGTGCAGCCCTGCTTCCTTGCATGGGAATCTATTTTGGACAAAGACCTGTGTGGCCAGGAGGAGGGCTGGGGGCCGGCAGGGCACAGGTCCCACTGCCAGGGGGCAGGGATGTCCCTGTGCCCCGATAACAGCAGCCCCACACAATGTCAGCCTGGGGCAGGACCCACCTGCAGGTTCCTGTCTATCAGCTTGTTGGTCTCAAAGTCATCGTCATCTTCTCCAAAAGGGTTAATGATCTGCTCTGCAACCTGGGGAGGGAGGGGGCCAGGTGAGACAGGCAATCTGGGACAGGGACACCTTCCCACGGGGCTTGATCTACCCATGAGGCACATGAAACATGCAGACTTGGAGCTCCATGGTGCCCCAATGTGATGGCTGGGCCCAGAGGATACGTCCCCAAGGGCAGCTAGCAGTGACGTGGCTGATGCCACACCCTGGGCCAGCCACCCCCCAGCCCAGGGGGGTGCTAAGGGCCACCTAGCCACCCCCAGCCCATAAAACAAAGCCCAGCTGCGTGGCCGCATCTCACCTTCAGCCAGCCGGCGTAGAAGAACTGGAGGAGGGTAGAGAGAGGGACATACATGTCCAGGTGCCCCTCCTGCCCTGGCTCCAGCGGCTCCAGGAACTGCCGCCCAATGAGGCAGAAGGTGAAGAAGGAGTAGACAGCGATGGTGACCACCTGCTGGGAGCGCAGGTCAGCCGGCAGCAAGGGTGGCAGCCGAGGGGGACACTCGGCACAGGGGCAGCAAGGATGCAAGAGGCTCAGCCAGCCACTGATGCTCTCGTGGGCTTAAGGCTAAACCCCCCTGCCCCACCGCCTGGGGTCCTGCACATCCCTGTGGGGCTGTGAACCAGCGGCTGTGCCAGATCCGGCACCAGATTCAATGGGGAAGTAAAGTGCTTTTAGGAAGGGGGGTAATGTGCTCCCCATCAGGGTGCAGGGAGGATGCTGTGGGGCTCCTCTGCCATTGTGCGGTGGAAGGAGCTGGGATCTGGGCTTGGGGGGCCTGTGGGCCCGTGGGGTGCGGGGGTACCCACCTGTGTGTACACCAGGGGGATGCTGATCCAGTCGTAATGGAACAACATGCTGCACTTGGCCTGGTAGAGATTCAGCTCCTGGGCGGAGAGGACAAGGACGGGTGACCTGGGCTTTGCATGAGCCCCCCCGTGGCGCCTGGTCCCCCCCGCACACCCGGCACCGACTCACGTCCATGAGCAGGCGGAGGGCCACGTCGTCACGGATGCGGCCGTCCCGCCTGGCCTGGGCCGCCAGGTTGGTGAACCACACGCAGGGGATCCAGTACTTGTTGAAGTCAGAGTGTAGGCTCTCGAACTTCTTGTGCTCGTCCTGCGTCATGAAGCCTGTGGCAGGGCAGAGGCTCAGCACCACGGACCCCGTGTTGGTGGGGTAGAGCCCTTTTGGGGACTGTCCCCAGCAGGAATGCAGGGTTTTCCAGGGGAAACTACAGCTCCTGGAGACAAGCTCTGGGCAGAGGAGATGCGGGGCTCTTTGGGGGTGAACATCCATGCAAGGATGCCATCCCGTGTGCGGTGCACTTTGGGGCAGGGATGCTTGCAAGGATCCCCGGCTCCCAGCACACCCACCCAGTGACGGGGACACGTCTGTGGCCCCCAGCTCTCACCCCACATTGCAAGCCATCATCCCCAGGGCTTAGCTCCTCACCCGCTTCCACCACGTGGTCCATGGTGGGGAAGCGCTTGAGCACCCTGGTGCTGATGGAGCGCAGAATGAGGACCGCTGACAGGTTGGCATAACGGATGAGGGTGCGCCGCAGGATCCGGCCCCTCTCATCCTTGCCGTGGACATTGCTAGAGATGACGCACATGAGCTGATCGGGCAGGGGGATGCTGGTGTACTGGGCCCACCACCAGTTCACGATCAGAGTAACATAAAAACCTGCACCGAGAGGTAGCACGTGGGGGTTCAGCATAGCCGGGTGGTGGGTTGAGGTGAGGACGAGCTCACGCCAGAAGAGCTGCCACGTTTCCAGGGATGACAGATTTCTCTGTGGCCAGGAGATAAAGTGCACATTGTGTTTCCCTTTGGGCTGCCATCCCCAGGGATGGAGGTGGGGATGTCCCCAGCTCTTTCCTGCCCTGGACACGGGTGGCACAGGGCAGGACAGCCATCTCTTGTAGATAAGGTGCCCCTTTCCTGGGCATGGGGAGGAGGGTGCAGAGCGGGCCAGGGGAAATCACAGCCTCCCGCTGGCATCCCCAGGGCCAGGGAGCTGTGCTCCGTGGGTCTGGGAGCCAAGTGCCATCCCTGGGGTGCCAGGCTCCTCCATCCTCCATCCGATGGTGTCCAAGGGATGTTTTGGCATGGGGTCAGGATGGGCTGTGGGGGCAACCTCAAGCCGCCAGCACCGGGGGCAGCATGGGACCCCAACTCCTGGGTTCAGGGGAGGGACCCATACCTAGGACGAATGACATAGGAATGAGGTCCGTGGAGCGGTTGCAGTACTGAGCCACTTTGGTATAGAGGCGCTTCTGCTCCTCAGTCAGCAGCCGCCTGCGGTGGACGTGGAGTGGGGTCAGGGACACTCAGCGGCATCAGGGACACGCAGCGGGGTCAGGGGCGAGTGGTGTGGCTGGGGTGCTGCCTCAGACCTCCACAAAAAGCCATTGCCTGATTCCCCTTCTCCTTGCCCTCCCTTGCCCTCCCCTGCCCGCTCCCAACCTCTCTGGGGGAGTCCCCTGGGCTTCTCCCCTCCCTGCAGGGACCCCAGTCCATGACCAATGGGGCATCTCTGCACATCCCAGTGGGTCAGCAGGGAGGGACACGACCGGCGGCAACACACCGACCCCGCTCACCGGTAGACAAGGCTGAGCACAGCGTACAGCGCCATGAAGACGACGAACTCCTTGTACAGCAGCTTGTAGATGCTGCCTTTCCAGTGGAAGAGCAGCTTGGAGAAACCTCCAAAACGGGAGTTGGCGACTTTCAGTGTGTAGGAGATGGTCATCGTGGCTCAGCTCCGCACCTCGGCGGAAAAATCCTTCTCTCACTGGCTTCCGGCTAAACTGAGGAGAACTGGGGTTCCCGCCGCCGTCCAGGCTGCAGGGCCTGGGGACGTACACTCGCTCCCATGCCAAGCACTATGGCCCATAAGCTGGATCGCCCAAGCGGCCGCCCTGCCCTTCCCACACCTGCCGCAGCCACTGCCTGCTCCCTGCCTGCACCCCCCCATCCTGCCAGTGCCGCTTCCCCCTAAATACCCCAGCATGAACCCGCGCAGCCGAGCCCTCCCCGTGATGGATTGGGGCTGTCAGAGGCAGGGAACAGGGAACTCCGGGTCGGTCACACCTCCCTGCCACCAACCACGGCCGGAGATTTCAGTGGGGGCTGCAGGTGCCAGAGCCAGGGCTGGGCTGGACCAAGTCGGGCGGTTTGGGCTGTTCCCCTTTGCAGCCACGGTGACTGAATTTAGGCTCTGTGAGAAGGAGGGGAAAGGATGGAGGGTTGCATCGCTCCTGGCAGCCCTGGGAACGGGGCCCTGGGGTGTACAGGCAGAGCCAGCACCCAGGGACGGCTGCAGGATATTTCTGCAGCACAGGTGAAAAATGTGCCCGTCCTCACTGCCAGCAACAGGCAGTGCCTGTGGCCGTGGGCTGGGCTGCAGCCCCTGGGGACGGCTGGCGGACCCCCGCCTGTCCTGCCTCAGCACTGTGGCAGCTCCTGGTCCCTCCATATCCCCAGGGGGGACTTGGGGATGGCATGAGCTGGGACATGCCAGGATCCCCTGGGTGTCCCCTGGCTGCATTACCTGGCAGGGGGTGGTGGAGGCATATTAAAGGCTGGCACTGGGCCACTTTCCCAGGGCCTGGGAGGGAGTGGGAAGGCAAAAATTCCAGCGGGACGTAAACCAGTGGGAAACACCCGTGAGTGACAGCGAGACACGCAGGGAAATCATCCCATCCTCGTCCCCGACCCACGCTGGGGCTGGGGTGGAGCACTGCCGGGGCCTGTGGCTCGTCCCGCCATGGGCTGCTGGAGGCCACGCCGTGCTCCGCAGGAAACGCCACTTCCTTTGCCGGCCGGAGCGCTGTGTCCTGCCCTGCCCGGCTCCCTCCCTTCCTGCCCGGGCACAGGGCCCGGCCCAGGCCCAGGACGGCTCCAGTGCAGAGCAGGGCAGCCGCTGAGGCTTCCAACCTGGGAAATGTCCCCCTGGGCAGGGGGGGCAGGACTCAAGGGTGACCCATCCCAGAGAAGGGCTGGAGCACCCATGGGTGAGACTCACCGGAGGAGCGCCTGTGCAAGGGGGGTGATTTACAGCACCCTCAGCCTTTGCCCCGTTCTCAGGAGCCACACAGCTCCTGTCCGGGAACCGCAGCGTTTACAGCAGGCTGACGCCTTCCCCAGCCGGGCTGTAAATCACGGTGCAAGGCAGAGGCTCTGCTCCCCCCCAGCCAGTGCCCAGCTCTGCTCCGCCAGGCTGGCAAAGTGGCCCTTGGGCTGCTAAATGAGACCCATGCTGGGGTATCACCCAGGGCATAGGAGGGGAGATGGGGTAGGAGCAAAGCCCCCCTTCCCTGCGGTCCCCCACGTCCCGTCGGTTGGCTCCCCACCACCCCAAACCATGCAGACACAGGGGTGGAGCCACACTGCCAGCAGTAAAATGATTTATTTCTTATTGAGAGCTGGATCCTACAGGGGTTGGCAGCACGTCAGGCAGGAGAGGCTGCAAGGGGCCCCCTCTGGTGCCTCTCCACGTGCATGTGCACCTCGCACACCCGCTCACGCCCACCCGTGCACAGTCCCCACACACACGTGCGCACGCACACTCCTGTGCACAGCAGCACATGTGCACCAGCTGTTTCAAGCCCCTGTGCCATGCAGCGGGACACGGCGGGATGTGGGGTGGAGAGCAGGCAGGGCCACCCCAGACTCCCCCTGCCAAGCCCAAGGCACCCTGTCCACGCGTGACCCCCCCCCGCAGACCACGTAGGCAGAAACAGCCCCATTTCATGTCCCCAGACCCTGTTATCTGTGGGCTGGGGAGCAACGGGTCCATGCCAGATGCCATCTGGCTCCGGTGGGAGAGGATGGAGGCCCCGGTCAGTGGGTCTGGCACACACAGTATTGTCACCTGGTCCCCAAAACCAGACAAGACAGCCCCCACCTCCTCTCCACATCCTTCCTCTGGCACTGCCAGCCCGTGTGTCCCCAAACACCGCTGGCCTGCAGCAGGGTCCCCAGTGCCCGAAGCACCCTTGCACCCCCTGCCCAGCTGCAGGACATGGCAAGCGAGGGGTGCACGTGGTAGCACAGGGGAAGGGATGGAAATCTGGGGGTGCAGCTTTACAAACAGCCACTGTAAGCCACGGCAGGACAGCTTGTGCCTCTCCTGCTCTGCCGGCTTTCACTACTGCCTGGCCCCTGTCATCCTCCCAGCATGTCCCAGACACAGCCCAAGTCCCAGCATCAGTGCAGGTCGATGTTCTCATACTCCAGGTTGTCTGAGTCCTCCAGCTCAATGCCGGGTACCAGGTTGTAATAGTTGGTCGACTGACTCATGTAGATCTTCTCCCGGTCGGCAGAGTCCTTCAGGACTTCACTCACGCTGACGGTGTCCACCTCTGGCTCGCTGCCCCCCAGCTCCTCTGCCCTTGGTGCTGGGGTGTCCTGCTGCCTGCCCGGCCCCGTGCCCCGCCATGCTTCATGGGCCAGCACCTGGGAACGGCTGGGGGATCCCACCTGGATCTCCACCTCCTCGTAGAGGTCCCTGCTGCTCTCCAGCGGGTCCACAGAGGGCTGGAGCAGGACCTGACTCCCCAGCAGCACCTTCTTAGTCTCGGAGGGGACGGCAGGCAGCTCGTAGGGGACGTAGTGGTGGGGCTCTGCAGGCACTGGTGTGTTGCCCCTTTCTGCTGTGGCCAGGTGGCTCTGGGACCTGCTCTGAAGGCTGTAGTTGGTCTTTCTCTTCTGCCTGCAGAAGCACCAGGTGATGCTGGCGAGGATGAGGAGAGGGGGCAGGCAGATGAAGAGGGCGGTGAGGCTGTGCGAGTGGCACAGCTCATCCCGGGGGATGCTCTGGAGGTCCATGCCACGGTACTGCTCTGGCGTGTGGCAGATAACCTCAGCGACCAGGCTGGGCCAACCCTCCAGGTTGCTGAGCAAAGCGCAGCTGCAGTCCCAGCTGTTGTTGGAGAGCTGGAGCTGGAGCAGAGACGGCTTCAGGAGGCTGGTGGGAAGGAATGTCAGGGCGTTGAAGCCCAGGTAGACCTCCCGGACCTGGGTGGATGCTTTCAGGAAGGACTGGGGCAGCTCCTGGAGCTGGTTGCTGTCCAAATAAAGGACCCTCAAATTAGGGGCATCTTCCAGAAAGCTTCCGGGGAGACTTTCCAGCAGGTTGTGACTTAAGTGCAAGATTTCCAAGGCAGGGGGGACTCCCTGCGCATTGCTGATATCCGTGATGCTGCAGTGTGAGAGGTAGAGCTCCCGCAGCCCCCGCACCCCTACCAGTGCGCCCCAGTCCAGGTGGGTGATGTTGGAGCTGGTGAAGTTGAGGCAGCAGCTCTCAGGGAGCGGAGCCTCCCGGAAAGCCTGGAAGTCCATGAGCTCCGTGCAGTTGCAGCTTTGCGGTGCTGGGTCGAGGGCAAGGCCGGCAGCAAGCAGGAGGCTGCCCCAGAGCGACACGGTCCCCAGCCCAGCGCCTGCGGGGAGAGCAGAGGGGACGGGTGACCCCCCTGCGGGACCAGCTCTCCCCTTGCTCCAGCCCGCCACGGCGGGGGGGTGAACCCCGCTTCCCCCCCCGCTAGGGAAGGGCCCCGGGTCCCCG